CCCGCCTCGCTCGGCCCGGGCCGCCGGCGGGCGCGGCCCGCGCGCCTCATTGCCTCACCTCTGATACATCAGCCGCGGGCGCACCACTGCCGTCGGCCGCGCCGCTCACTGCAACACGCCTCCGCCCCTCCGGCAGACCATCGCTTCCATGTGCATCTGATACGTCTCACAACTGCTAATCGCCCACACCGCGCCCGGCTCCCGCCGGCTATCCGTGGATATGTATCCCTTTCCTGTGCTTAACCCCTCACACCTCGAACCGATGCGCATGTGTTGCACGATTGCCCCAACCGACGGGTCATTCCTGAACCGCGTGACCTTCCTGTGGCACCGGCGGACCCCCAGGGCTCGCGCGCACATGCGCGCGCGAGCATGCGTGCGTGGGCCGGCGCGTCGGCGCACGCCCAGCACTGTCGGACAGCCCCCATCCCTGATACTTTATAACCGCCCCCGCGGCTGCCGCGCGCCGCTCAGGTCCCGCATGCCGGCGTGCCCGCGCCGCGGACCGCCGCGCCGCGCGGCTTGGACGGCCGGGGCCCCGCACCGTCACTGGCGTGCAGGGCGGCGCGCGCGCCGCCTGTTCTCGCGCCGCGCGAGCTCAGAGCGGCGCGGAGTCTCTGGCCGCCCGCGGCGACTGCGCGCACAGCCCCTGCCCCCGCTCAGCCTCGCGCGGGCTCGGCCCCCGCAGCGCGCAAGGCGCTGGCCCCGCCTGGCCGGGCGCGGCGCGGCGCGGCGCCGCAGGGTGGCACCGGCATCCAGCGGGCCGCACCCCCACCGGCCCAGGGCCCCGCCCTTGTGCACTGCTCTAGAATGCGCGCGCACCTGGCTGCCGGCCCCACCCCGCCCACCCCTCCCCTGCCGCTCGAATTCCGCGGCAGGGCGCAGGCCGGGCGCCCGCCGGCTTGCGCTGGGGCACATCGGTTTCGCGCCCGCCTTAGGGCAGGCGGCGCGCGCTGCAATGCTTTTCAACCCGGGAGCGTCGGGCCCGTCACAACTCACCCAACCCGCTGTGCCCGCCAGGGCACGTTGCTAAATACCCCACGAACGCGGCACCGGCGCGCGGCCCCTGCCGCCTGCGCCCCTCGCCCCTCTGCATCCCTCACGCGCGCCCGCCGCGGCCGGCCGCTGCGCCAGCGCGCGCGCCCCCTCTTCCGAGGCGCGCGCGCCTGCGCGCGCCGCGCCGCGTGGCCCCTGTACGGGCCCGGCAAGACTTCCACCCAGTTAGTGCCGGCGCATGCTACGTCCCCGCGCCCGCCCACTCGGCTCGCCCCCAGAACGCGCGCGCCCCTACGCCCCACCCGCGCCCCCCGCCCAGCCTCTTCCCCGCTGGCCGTGTGGGCCGCGAAGAGTCGCACCCGGGCCGCGGGCCAGATCACCCCAAGGTTCTGCACCCCGTTGTTGTGCTCCTTTCCAGTTGCTTTCCCCGCATCAGGTGTTCCCTTCAAATGCATATTCTCGAATGCGACCCTCCCTAGGCCCGAGTAATGACCAGGAGGTGCGGGGTCGGCGCATGCGCTCAGTAGCGTGTGGCAATATGGCGATGCAATGCGTGCGGTGCCGGCGGCGGCGGGGCGCCTGCGCGGCCGGAAGCTGGGGGCCCCAGGGGCGGCCAGAGCGATCCGATGCTGAAGTTTCAAATGACGGGCGGGGCAAGGGGGCTTGGGCAGCTGGGAAGTCAGCCCCCCAAAGCGCCGCGGGTGAGGCTGGCCTGTGGCGGCCAGCCGTGAACTAGCAGGGGTACGCGGTTGGTGGCCTGCTGACGGGTACGCCTGGCAAGCCGGGCGCACCTGCCTCTGCTTGGTCAGTCCTCCTTCCAGGGTTTTTTCAGGGTGCCCCCACCTTTTGCAGCCAAGCGCTTGGCATGCCCCAAAAACGCGTCAAAGGGCCTTGCCAAGGCCCCTTCACTTGGAGTTTGGGCCATGCCCTGGCGTGTCAACCTGATTCGAGCGACGTGCATGAGGCGGCCACGCAGGCTCCCTGGTGGTTGGCGCACGTCCTGCAGCGTTTGCGCTGCACAAGAGCGCATTTGAGTCTTTTAATCTGATAACACGTCAATTAATGCCTTTGTAACGGCGGATCGTCTGAAAAAGGCGGTTCAACAGTCGTCGTCGTGTCACCGCGGCTCACCCGAGGAGAGCGAATCGTGCCAGGCGCTTGTGCGGACTGGTTCCGAGCGCAAGCATCACCCCAACGCATGTTTTCATAAATCCAAGTCTATCAACACGCGCGCAACCAGGCAACGCCGCGGGCTCTCGCTGTCAGTCTCAGCCGACGCATTCACCAGGAGCCCTCGCTTGCGGTGCGTTGTTGGTGAAATTAGGAGTAATCTACAAGAGCCATGCGACGCGTGCGGTCCCGCAAGCCGGGGCACGCCCTGCGCAGTGTGGCGCGCCTGACGGTTACTGCAGCGCCGTCGGCACCTTGCTTGGGAGCCGCCCGTATCAAGGCCCCTGTGCAGCGCGGGACGCAGAAGCCTGCCAAATGGTTTTGATTGCAGCGCTGCTGCCGCCAACAGGAGTCAGGGCCGGCAGCTGTTGACTGAAACTGCCGGCATAAACCAGCCCTGCCATCGCGCCCGCCGCTGCTTGCAGGTTACCTCCGTAGCCAGCGATACCGCCGTCCAGTGGCAAGCGCTGCAGCCAGGCCGGCAGAAGCTGCTGAGGGCACATTGAGGTGAGTTTGTGGGAGGCGCAGCCGCCGCAGCCGCGTCTGGCTCGGGCTCAGAGCGGGCTTGGCGCAGCGGCGTTTGGGTGTAGGGCGCCCGCCTTGCGGGTGGGTGCGAGCCGCATTACAGGGTGACTCCCCCACCCTGCTATTTGATGGCGTCATTCCATCGCCGCCTCTGTCATCCCAAATCCGCAACCGCACTTGCAGCCATGGCGCACAGGAGCCAGACGGCGACGCACACCGCAAACCTCTTGCCTGCAGCCTCACTCCACTGCTCGCCCCCCCTTGCCCAAAACGCCCCAGCTGCCAACCGCCGGATTAGGCGAGCCAACCGGCGCAAATGGAGGCCCCGAGATCAGGCAGTAAAGAAGGTGTGCAGCCTCGCGCCGCGCCGCGCCGCCAATCCTGTATGCTTGCAGGCTGCTTCGCACGGGCTGCGTGTGCACGTTGTGAGGGCCCAGCCGCAGGCGGAAACGGCGGGCTACTCGCGGCTCTGTGGCGCGGGCCGCCGGAGCCCGCGCGGCAGCATGCGCCATCGCCCGCGCGCCGAGCGCCCCCGCCCACCCGGCCCACGCAGGCGGGCCGCCGGCGCTGCGGCGGGTCTCGCCAAACCCTTGGGGCGACAGAGACATGGCCATATTTATCGACGGCGTCGACGGCGCGAGCGCCTCGGACTCTCCCTCGGACCTCGAAAAGTTCGCGGCCAGCGCCCGCGCAGAGGCGGACGCACTGGCGCTGGAGGCAGAGGAGGCCCGCAAAGCCGCCACCGACGCGCTCGCGGCGCTGGAGTGCGCGCGCGCCGCGTCGGCGGCGGCGTCGGCCTCGGCGGCGGCGACGGCGCTGTCGGCGCGGCTGCGGGCGGGCGCGCTGCGGCCGCGGACCTGGTACGTGGACTGGCTGCGGACGTTTTTGACGCTGGTCGTGGTGCTGCACCACTGCACCACCACCTACCTCGGCTCGTCGCCCTGGACTGCCAAGCGCAAGGACGACACCGCGCTGTGGCTGCTGACTCAGCTCTTCGTCAACGGCAACCAGGCGTACTTCATGGTGAGTCGCCGCGCCGTGGCGTGGCCCCCTCTGCAGTACGGATTGTGCAACCGGTCGCCAGGTGTTGCTCCCCGGGGCCACCTCCTTTGCCCAGCTTTCATGTGGCGCCATCTGTGGCCTCTCCCACGCGCCCCTCTCCCTGGCATGCCCCTCCCAGTCACCTCCCCCACCCGTCCTCACACTTACCAGCTTCTCAAACCCCCACCTCATCTTGCCGCGCCCCCGCCCCACTCCTGACCCCGCAGACCCTCTTCTTTTTCATATCCGGCATCTACGTCCCCAGCTCGTTCGAGCGCAAGGGGGCGCTGCGCTTCCTCGGGGACCGCACGCTGAGGCTGATGCTGCCCTGTGTCGTGTACTCGCTGCTCGCGCCGCCCTTTATGAACTGGTGGGCCGGCTACGTGAAGGACCCGGCCAGCCACCCGAGCCTGGGCAGCGCGTTTACTAAGTGGCTGGCGCCGGGGTGGCCGACCACGTACATGCTGCCGACCGGGCCGCCATGGTTCATCTACATGCTGTGGTGCTTAAACGTGGCGTACGTGATCCTCGCGTGCGCCGCCTCAAGCCGCGCCGGCGCCGCGGTGCTGCGGCGCCTGGGCTGCTGCTGCTGCGGCGCGGGCGCGGCGGTCGCGGACGAGGCCGCCAAGCCGGCGCCGCGGCCGCGGTACACGGCGCGCCAGGCGCTGGGCGGCAGCGCGGCGCTGATCGCCGTGCTGTTCCTCACCTGCTACGGTGTCCGGATGCTGGACCTGTTCGCGTTCAACATCCAACCGTCGATTTTCGTGCAGCGCGGGCCGTTCGTGCAATTCATGCCGGATTACCTGCCCGTATACATCGTCGCCTTCTCACTCGGCGTCTTCGCCGGCCCCAAGAGCCCGTTCTCAAGCACGGCCGACCTGCTGGTGCGCCTGCCACGCTGGGGCGCCGCGTGCCTCGCGGTTGGCGGCGTCTGGTGGCTGCAGGCCGGCTGGCTCCCCAACGTCGTCATGCACGCGATGTTTGCGAATCAGAAGGGCTCTGCGGTGTTCGCCGGCTCCTGGGTGCTGCGCACGTTCGTCGAGCAGAGCTTCTGCGTGGTCTGGTCAGCCGGCCTCCTCATGGCCTTCCGGGACGGCCTCAACCTGCGGCCTAATGTCTTCGGCGAAATCATCAACGGCGCTGCCTACGCCGCGTTCCTGCTGCACCCCGTCATCATCCCGCTGTACGCGGCGGCAATTATGGGCTTCACGTTCCCCAGCATGGTGGTCAACGCGTGCGTGATCTCGGCGCCGGTGGTCATCACCGCGTGGCTGCTGGGCGCCGGCCTGAAGGCCATCCCCGGCGCCCACCGCATCCTGTGATGCGGCCGACGCCGCC